AAAAATATGCGGGTTTGGAAATATGCAAATATGCGCAAATGGAAAAATTCTTTACCATTTTGTATTAAATGTGGCAGATATCTTAGTCTACAAACGATTTACCTGTAAAAAATCCAATAATGATATTTCATTTATTTCTGAAATTCTGCCATATAAAGAATAATAACAAAACACAATGTGAAATTATTACAAACGTTAATTAAATTAACTGTGTATACCTACCAAGGAAAGCAACATGTTTTTTAATCATGACCATTTGTTCCTTTTCCCTATTTCCCGTGTGAAATGTATCTTCACGAATTTAATTACGCCAGCAAAAGTTATTACAAACAGAATCTCAAAAGTGGAATATCGGAAAATTGAATTTTTTGAAGAAAGTATTTTTATTGATCGGTATTATAATTGAAATTAATTCAAATGAAATTGTATGCATACATTTCTGAAAACTTAAAATCGAAGTAATAACTGTTAACATAACATTGAATAACAAACAATTAAAAGTAAAATAAGTTTCAATTGTTTTCGTAATATACGCAATTTTTTAAGACTTCGGGTTAAAACTTTAAAAAATTGAGAGTGAGATTATAAAAGGCATTATTGGGTTCTCTTTTCTTAGTATTTTTATTTACTTACTTATTTAGTTTTTTCATAAAATGGCTTCTCCTCATTTGTTTTGGCCCACCAGTGGCCGAGCGGTAAAGACGCTGAACACTGGTAGTTCGGTCCGAGGTTCGAATCCCGCGAACGGGTTGGCTGCATGGGCGTTTGGGTTTTCCCCATGTGTAACGTGTATACGAGCCAGTTTCCCTTAGAAAGTCCTCCACGAAAGGCATCCCTCCCCTTAGGCAGATAGCCCTAGTGTGCTTTGCCATAATTAAATACACCACCACCCTCATTTGTTTTAATAACCGTCTTAAATAATTTTGAATCCTAGTTCTCCCTTTACAACCTAAATAATATAAAAAGGTGTTTTTTATTTTGCATATAGAAAGCTATAATAATGAGGTACTTGCAAATATTATTAGAATTTTATGGCATCTCTTCATTTACAGATATTTCAAATGTGCAGTAAATAAATGATTATCGTTTGTGAAAAATTCATTTCATATGCGTAATGATAAAATATTCCTTAAGTGCGGATAACCTCCGCATTTGGACATCCCTTCGTTTCACTCGTTGATATAGCAAATATGAATTATATATACGTGTTGGATGTCCGAACTTAATGACTTTATTTCCTTAAATCATAGATAATGATCACAGATAATATACTCATAATAACAATGTTTCTCAAAACAATGTAGATAATTCTATGAAACTAGTTTCAGGACTAAAGGTAGGAAGAGTTCTCCAATTAGGAAAAAAATGATGACGCTTACGTAAGTTACGTACACAATGATCAATATTTTTACATGAAATATTTGTGGAGATGTTATGAATTTAATGACATCGATCACTTTACAATGCTTAGCATCTTATTAAATTTGGCACTCCCTGATCACATTTAAAAACACATGCAGAGAGACTTTTGGGCGCTTAATTTTTCCGCATAGGTTAAAAAAACTCTCTTTGTTAAATATTCAATAACTGTGACTTTTGCTCTTCAAAGACTTTATAAAACTGTATTAAAAGTTTCTTCATAAAATTCACAACTTTACTTTGAAAAATCTTAATAATATGAAGTACATTTGCTGGTTTAATATTTGAGTAACTAAAATCCACAGCTGCTACTGTAGAAGATTCGTTGTGTTCAAAACGCAATCCACTCTTTTGCCTAAGGATCTTGATAACGGTGTTAGCTTGTTTGTCCTTGTTTAGTTTGCTATGTCTGCATGTACATGTAAGGGATCAAACTTTGCTGTAATGTTGTATGATACGTTGATGGCGTAGAATGCTGGTGTTGACTGGTTACGGAAGGCGGGGACACCTGTTGTCTAATATTGGTGTAAACAGTTGTATATATCACGCTCTCTCCAATCACGAGCAACAGACCCCAAGGGCAACATAGAATGCTGAAATGTTGATCCATAATGAAGAACAAACTGGCAGCTTAAGCAGATTAAATCTTCATTCATTGTTATTTCAGTAAACATGTTGGGGCCACAAACAACTTGGTACACTACTTGTACCTATTTCAAAATGCTTACATTTTTGATAACTTTGCATTAAGACAAGAACAGCAAGCAGCAGTCCAGCTAGGCCGAAGTGTAGAAAGCAAGCGCAGTTGTGTTCAGGATAAAATCTTCATTCAGAATGAGTTAGGTTTGGTTCTCAGTGCATTTGATTGCATAATTAATACTACTGTAAAATTATTATTGGCTGTATGAGTCTTAGTTCCATTTACATCACCGATGTTATCTGAGAGTCATATGACATGGATTAATTTCGAAATGACACAGTGGAGTAAAGTATTGCTATTTTATAATACGTAAGAGAAATACCAAATTAAACATTAAGGGGCTGATGCTAATTTCTAATTTTTCTTTTATATATTTTTATCTTACATGCAGGTGACAGGTAACGGAGGACGGGGACGCCTGGTGTCTGACATAGGTAAGCAGGCATGTGTCTCGCGTCCTTCCCTATTTAGAAGCAACAACTCCCTGGTGCCACAGAAGGCTGCACCGGGAGTTTATTATAATTTGAAACATAGAGGTTACAGTGTCATACTGGAGCGGTTTCAGCTTTGCATAGGTGGTAGAATAACATAATGCTGTGAGCGTCATATAAATATAAATAAACACAGGAGAACAACAGAGAGAGAAGGGAGAAGAAAAGATGAAAGTCAGGAAGAGTAGAGGAGAGATGAGACATGAAGAAAGAGTATGTGGACATACACTAGCAAAAACAATAGCAGTTACGCATACATTAATACTCAGCATTAACACGATAACGCACATAAACATATACATTCTGATTTGGGGACATGCCCTTGATATCTACGGTTACAGAGGCAAATCTAGTGCAGAAATGATTTATAAATCGCGATTTACCAACAGACGTTTAAAATGCTATATATCGAATTTTTTTTCGGTAGACTAGCTAATAGCTAAAAATCAACCAAAATATTGAATTTGATTTTTTACTCTCGCAATATTCCATATATGTAACTACATCGTATGCAAAAAACGAATTCAAATATTCTAATTTCTAATTTTTAAAGAAGTTACAAGCATTTAAAATGTATAAAAAATACAAACTAAATTTTGGAGAAAATGTAAAAAAAAATGTATTTTAACAGTTATAATTTATATATTTTCCCAAAAGAAGTGTTTATTTATAAAAAAAAGGCTAGAAATGTCAGGATTTTCAACTATTAATAAATTTAACTTTGGTTATGTAAATGGTATACGCGTAGAGCATGGGGAAGCTCGTTTTCCCTATTCGTTGCAAAAAAGCGGGATCAACTTCGCTTGAACCAAAGCAAAAAGAGAAGTTTACCTGCTTGGAACAGTAAAAAATATTGTAAAGCATTAAAAGATAATGTAAATGTAACAAATGAAGTTAAAACATACTATGCGGGTGAATTTTAAAAAAAAGTTTCATTGGATATAATGTATAAATTGTTTCTCCCTATAACTTTGAATCACATACCAAAATGTTTCTATTTTCAATATTTTTAATATTTGAAATAATGAAAGTATAAATCTTGACGAAATTTAATTCGTTTTTCACAAAAAAATTTTTTTCATTTCCATTTCGTCTTGAAATGCTGCATGCGAACTCAATTTTAGTTCAAAATGAATGATATTTGGAAGAAACTATCTTGTTACAGTAGAACTGTGTATGCGGTTTTGGATATAAGGTTATTAAGAAGTTTAAACTTGTGATAATGTTTAACAAAATGTGATATTTTTTCCGAAAACTGGGTTTAAGTACACAAAATTCCTTTTTAAAAATTTTTGATTCATCATATTCAATAAAGGAGACACAAAATCTTTTGTTAAGTCTTTATAACTAATTGAAAGGAAAAATTAGGAAAAAATATTGAAAATTAGAGCGCAAGGAGCATTTTTAATCCTTAATTTAAATAATTAATTATTTGCTTTAAAAATTTTTACTTTAAAATAAATTTAAATTTTGAACATATATTTTATAAACTGATGTTATAATATGCATATGTGTAAAATTTTTGTTGAAAACACAAAAACTTTAAAAAAAATTTTTTTTTAAGTTCACCGTCCCCTTAAAAACAATTCGTGCAATACACCGATGTGGTACTTACAATACTTACAAATGCACAAGACTGGAGCAGATACACGATATTTATAGTTACGCTGATGCTAATAACTACAAGTACACTATTCCTTCCTGGTCTAGGTGTTCAAACTGTTCCTCTTATCTTACATGCATATAGTATCGGGTATCCAAAACTAATATTGCTATGATGTGCTACTTTTAACAACAGCACATATCTAGTTTGCTTTTATTAAGACCGCCGGATGAAATATTTTCTAAAAAAATGCAACCATCAGCATTTGGAAGTTCAAGTTCAAGTGCTTAAAATAGAAATACATTATTTTCGGCAAATGGAATAAATTAATATTAAGTATATAAGTTAAGTTTTATTTTTAGTGTTTGCTAATATTTGTTAATTTATTACACATTCCGTCAGATTTTCAAAGTATTAAAGAATCCGCATAAAGTTTTAGAAATATTGGCTTAGAATCTAGTTGCATCATAGATTGGTTCGTTTTTGAAATTTAATTAGAATTTGATTTATTGATTAATTAGTTGCTTACAAATTAAAGAGCTATATCCTTCAGAAAAATTACCTTCGTGAAGAACTTTCTGTTGGTTTAGCATGTGCATATGTTTCATAGAAGGACAAAACTTAAACAATAAAAATTGTCTCCCTGTTATAATGATTTATTCTAAACCGTTTATAAAACTGCAGAAATGGAAAATAGTTATTTAATTTCAGGTCATTTAACAAGTATTGCTACAAAATTATTTTTGAATTTGAGAATTCATTTAATTCTTGGTTTTGTTTCGTACAGTTCCAAAAGAAATTCTAAAGGACTTAGATCTCGGTGGTAGCGAGGACAAGGATCAAGAGGATAGTGACTACACCGGCTTCATTGAAGAACCTCGATATATGCCCGATGCTACCATGGGTCCACTTTTGGAAGCTACCCAACCACCGATGAAAGTGACACCCACTTTGAAAGCTCTTCTAGGCAAGTATTAAAATTCCTTTGATATTTACTTATGTAGATTCCTTCTTACCTTTGTGTCTGAGAATATACTGCATAAAGCTGCTGAATTTTTTTTTCCGTTGACATTTTGTTGTCTAGCTTCCGTCTTATCGTAACACACTTCATAAAATGGCCGACAATTTCTGAAGTCTAGAGGTAAATACACACACTAGTCCAACCGACATTTTAATTTGAACATTTAATGAAGTTTATCCAACGATTTTTATACACTACGAGAATGGACGACAGCAGCGTGTATGTACAGGAAATTTATGACATTAATAAAAAGTTCGGTCGAACGGAATGCCACACTTCTATTGTAACGAAAGGTTTTGATTTCCACGTATCGCTCTACTACATTAGGCAGTTCTTTTAAATAAAAGCTGCAATTTTATCAATGAAATTCAATGCATCATTTACGTTTTTACAAAATGAAATATACAATATTAATGGGTATTAAATAACCAAAAAGTTTCACCCATTTCAATTATAATTTTGCTTGCTAAATCAGATGTTGTGAGTACATTAATAGCGACGTTTTTAAATTTGTCATAACGCTCATAAAATATCCTATGCAGCCTTTATTTATGCAACTGTTGGACATAGATATGTACTTCCAATAACAAAAATATTTAAATGACGCAAATATTCATATTCCGACATTTTAAAGTTTAAAAACTCTGTTTTATAAAAATTATAAACTCAAATTCTATTTTGTACTTTTCTAAGTTTTTATAGTTAGTTACGTTCAGTAAATGTTTATGCAAATTATGAAAGTGTAACACAAAAAGTTGACACCCGTGCGACAAATTTGACCAAGCTATTTAATTTCAAAATTTTCAATTTTGCACAAGTTTTTTGGCATTCTTTGAAGGTTCGTAAAAAATTTAAATAATTCGAAGCGTTGAAAATGGTGTCATTAAATGACATAAATTTGTTACATTTGAATTTTCGAAAGCATTTTCAAACAAAGTAAGTCTTTAAGTAAGTTTTTCTATGAATATGATCTCCCTTATGGAAAATATTTTATAGGTCAAATGTTTTTCATGTAAGCTTGCATAGTAATAAAGCTTATAATTCAGTCTATCAATATCAGGAAACATTTTCATATTTTATTTCCAGTATCTAGAAATATAAATAATTAAATTTTTCCATGACCTTTGAATATCAGACTTTAAAATTAAAGATCTGAAAAGAGTAAAAAATTACTAAATTTAACTATAAATTTTCGGGGAAACATTTTTTTAAGAATTTTTAATCTCCCTACCTTATTCCAAAATGATTTGTTTTATTATTTGAAAAATTATAATTAACGTTTTCACTTGCTTTTTCGTCTAAATATTTATTTAAAATTTAAAATTTTATATTTGCAAAACCTTTCCTACCCGCAGCACAGAAAATAATTTCATAAAATTTTCTACCTTATTTAGAAAAGGTGTATGAATGGAAGTACATGTCTGTTACCTTTATTTATTAAATATCACGTTCTTTGCACTTTAACGATAAAATTCAGTTCAAAAACAATATCGCAAAATATTTTTAAATTGAGCATATCTTTAGAATTTCCGATACAGGGATTCGCGCGCTGGAGGTAAAAATGTTTTTTCTGTACAACGTTGCCATTGCTCGCTTTGAAATACTTGGTGGTGTGGTGTATTTAATTATGGCAAAGCACACTAGGGCTATCTGCCTAAGGGGAGGGATGCCTTTCGTGGAGGACTTTCTAAGGGAAACTGGCTCGTATACACGTTACACATGGGGAAAACCACGAAAACGCCCATGCAGCCAGCCCGTTCGCGGGATTCGAACCTCGGACCGAACTACCAGTGTTCAGCGTCTTTACCGCTCGGCCGCTGGTGGGCTTTTGAAATACTTGAGTTTGTGAATTAAAACTTTACAAAAAACACGAAATCGATAATAAAAAAAAAAAAACAAATTCCAAATTTCAAATTTGGGCTTTCGCATGCCCATATTCGCAGTAGGATTACGTCATTTAAAATTCGATGTCTCTATGTACCGTTGTTTTATCACAATGCGAGAAATGTACATACATTTTTGCAGATTTTTCATTATTTAATTTCTTCAAATATAATACAAGACTCTAAAATTTGGTGGTAACAGTTTGAAAAGTGAAACGGACATTAACCAGTGCAAATTCGCGAAACGAAAACAATAGTCCTTCAGGAAGAAAGCTCCTTTGGACTAAAAGAAAAAAAAAAAAAAAAAAAAAAAAAAAAAAAAACTAGCCGTATAGAAGAATACAGGGTATACAGAGAAGAATACATAGTAAGAATACAGGGGCAAGTCCACTTAACATTGAATAACTGGGTATCTCCGTAATTCGGCGAGATGTCGCCAAACTGACAACGATTTTGGCGACCATTTAGCAACATTTTGACCCGTCCCTTGTTATTACCATAATAGGTTTCTAATTGAATAAATGTAATTCAACTGTATTAGCTGCAATCGTAAGTCGGCCCTCATATTGCTTTCTAGTAATTTCAAGAAGCAGAAAGTACTAGAAATATCTCGACCGGTTGAAACATATATAATGCAGGAGAGAGCATTTGCTCTCTGTTTTTCTTGTTGCTATTGTTGCGAGTTGTTAGTTCAGCATGAGATCGGTGATATTTCCGAGTTAGTTTTCTCTTTAGATGCACTTTGCATTGCGTTGTGTTTAACATTCTTAGTAGTTTGAAGCGTAACTGCTGATTGTACTCCGTGATACTGTGAACACCTGTACGAGTATTTTTGTGGAAAAGTCCAGAAATCTGAAGTGTTTCTTTTAATAAAATAAATTTTATTATCCTATTATCGGTTACAGCCGAAAACATCGCGGCAAAAACATCGCGGACGAAAACGTCGCGGAGAAAACAACGCAAGGCGAAAACGTCGTGCTACAAAACATCGTGGGAGAAAACATCGCAGTCGTAAAACATCGTGGTACAAAACATCGTCGTCGAAAATAAAGCGGTTCAAAAACTTCGCAGTTTAAAAACATCGTCGTCGAAAATATCGTGGTAAAAAATAAAGTATCTACAAATCATCGCATGACGATAACATTGCAGATATGCTTTTTTCAGACATGCTTTTCGGAGACATTCTTTAATAACTGTAAATGGATATTCCCATAATGATTTGTGAGCGCAAGATGGAAAGAAGGATAATTTTTACTTTGATATTTTTTTATTAACTAATAATTTTTGCTGAGAAAACAAGAAGGACACTTAAGCATAGAAAATTAATGCACACCTTATAGCACTTAAAGGAATTTAAACCGACATAGTTAACTAACAAAGGCCATTAATAAATAATTTTTATAATGCGTTTACTGGTAATTTTTCATGAAAAGTATAAGCTATAAGTTGCATTTAATTATTGATGCTTAAATTTCCTTCTTACTTTTTCAGCAAAAATTTATTAGTTATTTAAAAAATTGAAAGTAAAATTATCCTTCTTTACATCTTGCGCTCACAAATCATTATGGGAATATCCATTTCCAATTATTAAAACCCGAAAAAAGAATGTCTGCGATGTTATCGTCATGCGATCATTTGTAGATACTTTATTTTTTACCACGATATTTTCGACGACGATGTTTTAAACTGCGAAGTTTTTGAACCGCTTTATTTTCGACGACGATGTTTTGTACCACGATGTTTTAGAACTGCGATGTTTTCTCTTTTGCGATGTTTTCTCCCACGATGTTTTGTAGCACGACGTTTTCTCCTTGCGTTGTTTTCTCCGCGACGTTTTCGTCCGCGATGTTTTTGCCGCGATGTTATCGGCGGACACCCCTATTATCAGACCTATTTGCATTCAATATCTTAGGAACTCGTGCGCACGCAACAATATAGTTATAAAATTAGATAACTTAAAGAAAATGGGAATAAATAATAAAATAAAAATAAAATAAAGAAAATAAAAATAAAACAAAGAAAGTGATTTATATTTATCAGTTAATAACAATGAAATAAATTTATCAAAATTCACATGTGAAAAGCTTTTTCATGTATAACAATATCCAAAAGAAACAAGAATTTGGAAATGTGTTCAACAAATTTTCTTCAAAGAAACTGAGAAAAACATTTTTCTTTTCCATATGCTTTGTCTATAACAATTGCTAAAATGTTTCGAAAAAATAAAACCAAAATAAAATGTATGTTTATTTATTTAAAGATAAAATCCTTTTCTATATATTCCTAAGTGAAAATTTTCAAACCACATAATTTTCATACATAATTCGAGGTGAGGGGAAGACTTGTATCAGTTAATCAACATAAGACGAGCATTCAAATCACAAAATCTATAAAAGCCATTTTAATTTATCGAATATGAAATTACCGTTGTAATTTTCCTTGAGGTTTTCACAATCAAGACTTGTAAAAGATATCCTCTGTAATTTTACTTCCTTAACGATGATGACAGAATAGATTTAAAGATCTGTCAGCAGTTTGGTGCTAGCTAGACGTTCAAACCGACCTGCTTTCGAGATGAACATTTAAAAATCCGATGTCGACATGTTAAGTCAAGTTCCATTTTAAGACATAGAACTGGCGGAATACGAAAGTGCTTTAAGTAAACTATCTCTTACGGCTAATGTTTTGTAAAAGAAATCTAATTTGCTTATAAATTTAGGGCTCAGGATTCATTATGAACACTACTTATTCTTTATTACTATACCCCTCATACAGTGGACAATAATAACGATACGTGTTCTTGTATACATCCGTTCTCATGCTTTGATTTGGAAATATCACATCTACCATCTATCTCTGGTCGTACAGTAATTAAGATTTCAGATTAATGACTTAATAATCAAAAGCATTTTCACTGTGTTATTTATGTTTGGTGCGTTATTTCTTTAAAAATAACACAGAGCGATAAATTTTGGTGGCAGCGTCCTTTTACTGGAAAAGCAATTCAAATACAAAAGTGAAACAAGCACAAAATTGAGTATTGGGTTTAATAAATTTAATTAC